TATATATATATATATATATATATATATATATATATATATCTTTTTATTTTGAAATAATTTTAGACTCATAGAAGTTGCAAAAATAGTACAGAATTCTACATCTTTTTTTTTGTAGGTAGTGTTTTTTGCTGTCAAATCCTGTTTGACTCGTATTTTTTTTTTTTTTAATGTTTGTTTTTGAAAGAGAGAGTGCAAGCAGGGGAGGGGTAGAGAAAGAGGGAGACACAGAATCGGAAGCAGACTCCAGGCTCTGAGCTGTCAACACAGAGCCCAACATGGGGCTCAAACCCACAAACTGTGAGATCATGATCTGAGCTGAAGTCAGATGCTTAACTGGCTGAGCCACCTGGGTGCCCCATGTTTGACTTTTTAACACTGTTCACATGTACCAACCATAAAATGTCACTATTTAGATAATTTAGGAGGTGAAAAAGGGCTCTCTTCCCTCAGGTCTGCTGCTCATATGAGGTCATACTCATGTATATGGCTTCTTTTGTAACTTGCTGATGGTTCCAAGCTTATTCTCACCATAAGGTTTGTGTAAATGTCACTCTTCACATTAACCTTGTGGAGGTTCATTTGGTCGATTTTTAATTTATATATACACACACACATACACACATATATGTGTGTATGTGTGTGTGTATATTTTGGCCTCTCACAAAGAAAGCCTGCTTTTTATTCCAAAAAATGATTACTTTTCCCTGAGTGCTTAACAGAGCTGGGAACCATTCATGGATAGCTGTAGGGGAAATAGTTTCCCGAGTATAGCTACGCTTTAATTCGTGTGTACATGTTTATTTATTTTTGATCTCTCCTTGTTCTTCTCTGCATATAAACATTTTAGTACCGACCCATCTAAGTATTTCTACCTATAAATGGTATATATATTATTTAATGAACACTACGTTTTGAACGTATCTTTCTCAGGTAAGTCTATACTGTTTGGGTTTGAAAGAAGACACAGTGCCTTTGTGTTTGTTACCTTTATGCCATCTTCTTTTTCCTGCCACATGCATTAGTTTCCTCCTATATCATTTCCTGATATATCTTTGTCTTCATTATGAATGCTAGGCCCTACTATAGCTATACAATTTTTTAAACCTGTTTTATCTGCTACTACCTCAACTTGACCCGGATCACTATTTTCTTCTGTTTCTTATCCTTGGTCCCTAGTACCTGACACTTATTAGGACCTACCTCCATACATATTTGTTGAATAGGTTAAAAATCTTGAATACAGGGGTGCCTAGGTGGCTCAGTCAGTTAAGCATGTGACTCTTGATTTTCGCTCAGGCCATGATCCCAGGGTCATGGGATCCAACCCCGTGTTGGGCTCTGTACTGGGCATGGAGACTGTTTAAAATTCTTTCTCTCCCATTCCCTCTCTACACCCCCTCTAAAAAAACAAATTAATTAATTAATTAACTAATTTTGTGAAAAAAGAAAAATCTTGAATACAACTAACTCTTTCTTGCCTTCATGAGTATTGTTTCCTCTGTCAGGAAGAAAACTTTCTCCCATTCTTCACGTGGCTAAATTCTACTCACCCTTCAGCTCTCAATATAAATGTTATTTCCCAGGTGGCACCTGGGTGGTTAAGTCGGTTGAGTATTCAGCCTTACTTAGCTCAGGTCATGATCTCACAGTTCATGAGTTTGAGCCCCACATCGGTTTTGCTGCTGTTGGCACAGAGACTGCTGTGGATCCTCTGTCACCCCCTCTCTCTGCTCCTCGCCTGCTTGTGCTCTCTCCTTCAAAAATAAATAAACATTATAAAAATAAATAAATGTTATTTCCCAGAAGGGTCTTTTCTGATCTCACAATTTTTTTTTTTTTTAATATTTACTTTTGAGAGAGAGAAAGACAGAGAGACAGAGCGCAAGGGGGGAGGGGCAGAGAGAGAGGGAGACAGAATCCGAAGCAGGCTCCAGGCTCCGAGCTGTCAGCACAGAGCCTGACACAGGGATTGAACCCACGAACTGTGAGATCATGACCTGAGCTGAAGTCGGACGCTTAACTGACTGAGCCACACAGGCGCCCCTGATCTCACACTTTAAATCAAGTGTTTAAAAATGCTCTCTCTTCTGGTGCCCAGTTGGCTCAGTCGGTAGAGCCTGCAACTCTTGATCTCAGGGTTGTGAGTTCAAGCCCCATGTTGGGTGTAGAGTTTGCATACGTACATAAATACATAATCTCTCATTGTATCCTATAAACTTTTGCGCTTATTTGTTAAATGTTTGCCTCTTCTAAGTTCCCTGAAAGCAGAAGTGAGGTATGTTTTGTTCATTACTATATCCTCAGTATTTGGAATGTAATAGGCACTTAATTAAATGTGTTTGAATGGGTAAAAAATATATACATTGTTTTCCTTTTTTTTTTAATTTTTTTTTCAACGTTTATTTATTTTTGGGACAGAGAGAGACCGAGCATGAACGGGGGAGGGGTAGAGAGAGAGGGAGACACAGAATCGGAAACAGGCTCCAGGCTCTGAGCCATCAGCCCAGAGCCTGACGCGGGGCTCGAACTCACAGACCGCGAGATCGTGACCTGGCTGAAGTCGGACGCTTAACCGACTGCGCCACCCAGGCGCCCCTACATTGTTTTCTTAAAATATTCTTTAAGAGTGAATTATCAAGTCTAAGGATCTGAATATTTTAAGATTATTAATAAATATTGCTGATGAATATGGCTTTCCATAAAAAGGCTATTCCATTTACATTCCCACCAACAATGTCTGAGATTGCTTTATCTTTGCTAGTATTACTAGTTTATATTTTTCACTAATTTGGTTAACCAAAAAATGGTGTTGTATAGTTTTAATTTGCAGGTCTTTGGTTATTCATCAGCATGAGCCTTTTTCCTCCACACGTTTGCTGGCCTCAGGACAACTGTTGTGCTGGCATTATCTATTCTTGGTCTTCTAATCTCTAATCTTCTCCATCCTTTATACTGTGATAGGATTAAGTTCTTTAAAACACTTTTTATGGTCATTTCCCTGCTCAAGAGCCTTTTGTTTAGTGTTGATGCCTATAGTATCGTAAATGAGCCCACTCAACACCTGCCATTCCAGGCTTCCCATGATCTAGATAGACCCTTTGTACCTATTCAGTCCTCTCCCACTGCTTCTCCGTGTGGTAGTAGTCTTGTCCAGGATATTCATTCTGTCTGTGTGCTGTCCGCTCTACCGCTCAGCTGCCAACCTAAGTTCTTGAAAGATGTAAGGGCCGGGGGGTCTCAGAACTAACCTCTTCATGACATATTTCAAAACAGACTTTATCCCATAGCGATCTTTTATTACCTGAACTTTCCTGTCTCAAATTTGTTTTTCTCTTGTCTTGAAGTTCTTCTTCAATTATATTGTGTGTTTCTTCTGCCTGCATTAATTATAATTTGCTAGGTAACAATATTGCATAAACTTAGTGGCTTAAAGCAAGACACATTTAGAATCTCAGAGTTTCTGTGGGTCAGGAATCTGGGTATGGCTTAGCTGGATCTCTTGCTTCAGAGGATCTCACAGGACTGCAATCGAGGTTT